CAACATCCAATGCAATACTATAAGAAAATGACTGATGGTACTGGGAAACTATGGGGGGGAGGGGGATGGGATTAACAGTAGCAAATATCTGTCGGGGGATGGGAAAACACTTCTTATCTACAGGGTGCCTGAATGAAACGTCATTGTACACCTAACCCTTAACTGTACCCCACAAAACCATAATAAAAAATACTGATTAATGAAAAAAAAAAAAAAAAAGCATAAGACAGAATCAACTTGATACAGTAGTCCCCATGCACGAGCTGTGAGGGAAGTGGCCACCAGGACAAACTGTGGTCATTTTCTGTCTGTGACACCTGCATAGCCCAAAGGCCCACCTCAAAAGGCAACACAAACAGAAAAGGGGGCAGCACACAGACTGTCACTGGTGTGTCCCCTCCGACGCCAACATGGCAAGTGCAGATCAACACAATGGGCCCAATCTCACTACTTTAAAGCACTAGATACAACACATATTCAAATGTTTGTGTAGGCACAGAAAAAAGTCTGGAAGGATACACACACTTTAACAGTGGTGGAGGACATGAGAATCAGAAGGGGCCTGCATTTTACTCTGATATGCACCAAGTGGTGCATAAGATGGACTGGTGATAGGCAGACAGGCCTAGTGCCCTGCAGATGCCAGGTGGTGGGCAAGGGTGCTCCTTGAACAACTCTTTCAACTTTGCTGAGTTTGACATTTTTTATAATGAGAATTTTTAGAAGAAAAAGTCTTTTTTTAGAAGAAAAAAACTTCAACAAAGATGAGAGGAAATACGGCATAGCTTCGAGAGGGCAGGGTCATTGGACCTCTGTCTCGGGCACCACATCCATGACACGAGCATTGGGCTACAGCTCTAAGTTTCCTTTCAAGTACTGAAGGATGACTTCCTTGGAGCACAGTAATTACTGATTCCAAAGTACTTTCCCATTGCAGTTCCCCTATTGACTGGTAACTCAGCTGGGAGTTCAAGAGACTGGTTAGAATTCTCTGGGTCTTTCCTTCTGTGTCAGCTCCAGAAGGACACGTGTGGTAGAGGAGGCAGGTACAGAGATATGGCTAAGGGGATTCCTTCTTCAGCAAGACTGGACTTGACACTCCTCTCCTCTTTCAGCACTGAACTTCACTAGGGAGGGGGCGTAAGGGTCATTCTTCCTCTTGTCCCATGTACTAAAGGACTCTCAGCCTTGAGCTGAGAAGGTTAGAGGTGGTTTTTCCTCACCACTCTACAAAGCAGTTTTAAGGCAGTGTTGGGTCGTTGGGCCTTACCAGTCAGTCCGGGGCTGCAGCACTGGTGGGAAGAATGAAAATGTACAGCTGCCCCACCAGGCTGGCACACAGCAGGAAGCGCATCTCACTGGGACTGAGAGCCACCAGCTGTGAAAGGCCACCTAGAGGTTCCTGTAGATGGGGAGGAGCCAGAGGCTTAGACTCCAACAGCATGGGGAAGCCTGCAGTGCCCACACACAGGGCATTCTTCCATGCA